ACTCCCTCAGCACTGACCCTCCGACAGTGCGGCACTCCCTCAGCACTAACGCTCCGACAGTGCACACTCCCTCAGTACTGACCCTCCGACAGTGCAGCGCTCCCTCAACATTGCTTTCAGCCTGATTATCAGCCTGGATTTTATGCTTGAGTCAGTGGATGGTGATGTCAGTTTGGGAGTGTTCCAGACTGATCCAATTGACAGCTGCATCATAGGATGATGAATGAGCAGATTGTTCACTATAACCTCAGACCTGATTGCTCCTCGAAATTCTAACCTGAGATGACAGTGTCCCACTGGATGGAGGGTAGGGAGGACATGAGGGACTAGCTGCTGATTTCTGCTTTATCAAGAAGCATTCATGGTCTAGACAGTCCCTGCTGAAGCACTGTAACAAATCAACAGAAGTTATCAAAATTAAAAATGACGTATCACAGCCCCGTGGTGCCCACTGGTCCCTAAAGACCTTTATTGTGTCAGGGGACTCTCCAAGTTCCATCTTTCGGGACACTGCAAGTTCCTTCTCTCGGAGCACTCAGATGCGGATGTAAACACAGAAGAGGGGCAGACAGTCAAGTGCTCACAGCCTGGTCTTGTCCATCTCCTCCTTAACTGGAGGTCCTCCAATCTACACCACCACCCCGCCCAACAAACTATCTGTACGGCCTGCCCATATGACAGGAATGTGGGATTGAGTGCATACAAAAATTTAAATCAGCTCCTTAACAAAACTAAATAGGCACTGGAAATGAAAACATTCAACGTAAATGTGAGAAATTGTTTTTTCAAGGCAACAAAAATTTCTGTCTTCTCAGTTGCTTGCAAGTTTCTTTTTGCTTGGCTTGGTTTGTTTCCTAAGTAAGTTTTACGGCACTCTGGTGAGTAAAGGACATGACCAGAGACGATCATAAAATAAAATGAAATGTCATGATTTGAAATTCCATGAGTAAGAAGCTTATTGGTTAATGAACTTGTTTTTTTTGGGCAAGAGCAGATCATGGGGAATAAAGAGGGAAGGGGTGCTACGGGGGGGAAGGTTTAAGGACGAAGGGTGATTTAGGAGTGGGGGGGTAAGGAGTCGAGGGAGTGAGGAGGAGTAAGGAGTCGAATGAGTCGAGTGAAGAGTGGAGGGAGTGAGCAGGATTGAAGAGGGGAATGGGGGTGGAGCGAGTGAAGTAGAGTGAAAGAGGGAGTGAGGAGGAGTGGAAGGAATGAGGAAGAGTGAAGAGAGGGAATGAGGAGGAGTGGAGGAGGGGAGGGAGTGAGGAGTGAAAAGGAGTGAGATGGAGTGAAGAGAAGGAGTGAGGAGGAGTGGAGGGAGTGAGGAGGAGTGAAGAGGGAGTGAGGAGGAGTGGAGGGAGAATGAAGAAAGAACGAGGAGAGAGTGGAAAAGGTGATGTGGTCTAGGATAGAGGGGATGTTAGTGGGGAGTTGTTGAGGATTGGGTTGAGGGGGTGAGGTATACCATTTGAGGGAGAGCAGGGTAATGGAGGTGGGGAATATATTTATCCCTGCTACAAACTCTTGGTTCCGCACAGAGTTTAAACCCACCCGGACCCGGGAAGCGCTGCACACGGCCACCGGAACCGGAAGTGGGCTATTTCCCTGCCGCTCGGTGTCCCCGCATCTGCCTCGGGGGAGGGTGTTCAGCGGCGGAACCACTTCCGGCGGTCACAAAGGTAGGCGGCAGTTAAAGCGGGCGGCGGACACCGGGGCCTGGGCCGGGGGTTACCGGCCGGAGAGGAGCGGGACGGGGAGATCGGCGGCACCTGGTTGGCCCAGCCAGACCCCGCCCCCTCCAGGCCCAGATCCACCCTTAAACCCAGACCCCGCCTCCTCCCACTGCAGCCCCGCCTCCTCCACTGCCTCCTCCTGCTAGCCCAAGCCCGATGGGCTGAAGGGTCTCCTCCTGTGCTGTACGTCCTCGAGATTTAGGTAGGGTTGCTGTTCCTCACCATTATTGCTGCAGGTAAGTGCCCAAGAAGCCATTCAGCCCCTCTAAATTCTTCGGGACCACAGCATGGTGTTGGATCTGTGACTGATATCCCTGCCTGTGCCTCATATCCCTGAATTTATTTGCTTGAGTAAAAAGCATCAGAGTCAGCTTTTGATCTGTAACAATTCCATTTGGTGGACGGAATTGCATTTGGCTTTAATCTGTTATTTGAAGAAGTGAGTTTTCCCTTAAGTTCACGAGATATAGGGGCAGAACTAGGCCATTCGGTCCTTCTAAGTCTGTTCCGCTATTTGATCATGGCTGATATATTCCTCACCTCTATTTTCCTGCCTTCTCCCCATAATCCTTCAATCCATTACCAACTAAAAATCTGTTTAACTCCTCCTTATATTTACTCACTGTCCCAGCATCCAACTTACTTTGGGGTAGTGAATTCCACAGATTCACAACCCTTTGGGAGAAGTAGTTCCCCACAATTTTGTTTTAGGTTTGCTACCTCTCATCTTAGAATGCTCCTCAAGAGGAAGAATCCACTTCACGTCTATTTTGTCCACACCTTTTATCATCGTGAATACCTCAATTTGATCTCCCCTCATACTTCTGCAGTGTATAGGCCTAAACTCTTCATGAACTCTCCCTTCATACAATAAATCCCTCATCTCTGGGATCAATCTAGTGAACCTCCTCTGAACTGCCTCCAATGCTATTACATCTTTCCTCAAATAAGGGACCAAAACTGTGCACAATACTCCAGGTGTGGTCTCACCAATGCCTTGCATAGTTGTAACGATACTTCCTTACCTTTGTATTCCATTCCATTAGCTATAAAAGCCAACATTCCATTTGCTCTCTTTATTGTCTGCTGTGCCTGCATGCTAGTTTTCTGTGACTCATGAAATGTCTCATTTTTACAACATATCCGCGAAGACTCGGCGACTGCTTCACAGAACATCTATGCAAAAAAGACCCTGAACTACCTGTTGCCTGCCACTTCAATGCACCATCCTGCTCCCTGGCCAACATCTCTGTCTCTGGCTTGCTGCCGTGTTCCAGTGAAATCCAACGGAAGCTGGAGGAACAGCACCTCATTTTCCGCTTGGGGACCCTACAGCCCTCTGGACTCAATATTGAGTTCAATAATTTTACGGCCTAAACTCTCCCATGTCCCAGCCCCCTACCCCACACACCAGGCCTTGTTACCACATAGCCTGCCATTACACACCCGCTGTTGTTAGTCACTAACAGTCCCCATTAACAACTATTCACCCTCTTGTCTAGGGCTTTTTTCATTTGAGCGAAGAAGGATGAGAGGTGACTTGACAGAAATGATGATGAGAGACAAGATGATGAGAGGCATAGATAGAATGGATAGTCAGAGACTTTTTCCCAGGGCGGAAATGACTGTTACAAGGGGACATAATTTCAAGGTGATTGGAGGAAGGTATAGGGGAGATGTCAGAGGTAGGTTCTTCACACAGAGAGTGGTGGGCGTGTGGAATGCGCTGCCGGCAGTGGTAGTGGAGTCAGATATGTTAGAGACTTTTAAGCGACTCTTGGATAGGCATATGGAGGATAGTGAAATGTAGGGTATGAAGGGTAGATTGATCTTAATAAGATAATAGGTCAGCACAACATCGTGGGCCGAAGGGCCTGTACTGTGCTGTACTGTTCTATGTTCTATCTATAGTCTTTTTGTTTATTCATTCATGGGATGTTTCTGTGGTTGAAAGGGTGCATTTATTGGCTATCCCTAATTGCCTTAACTGAGAAGCTTGCTTGGGTCAATTTAGAGGGCAAATAAGAGCTCTGAGGAAGGGTCACCAGACCCGAAATGTTAACTCTGTTTTTTCCTTCACAGATGCTGCCAGACCTGCTGAGCTTTTCCAGCAACTTTGTCTTTGTTCCTGATTTACAGCACCCGCAGTTCTTTCGGTTTTTATTGGGCAAATGAGAGTTGACCACATTGCTGTGGGTCTGGAGTCCCAGCTAAAGACGGCAGATTTCCAATTCTAAAGGACATTAGTGAACCAGATGGGTTTTTACAACAACAGTCATCATTAAATCAGCTTTTTAATTCCAGATTCATTATTTGAATTCAGTTTTTTCCATCTGTCACAGTGGGATTCAAACCTAAGTTGCTAGAACATTAGCCTGGGATTCTGACAATTATTTGTCAGTGGCATTACTACTGCACCACTATTACCTTCCCTAATTAAGTGAGGGGAATGTTTCTGCCTATCTACCCTACCTGGCCACATTGCCCTTATAGCATTTCAAATGCTGACATTATAAGAGACTGCATCCAGCCTGGTCATGGAGCAAATTAATTGCTTTTAAGCTTTTGGGGGAGAAACTGCAAAGCTCACAGATTTCCACTTCCTGTCCAAGTGTGTAAAAATCCACAAAGGATGGGAAGCATCTCCACTTTCTCTGTTTCTAACTGCCCTTTTATTTTCTCTGTCTTGAGGATGTCAACACTTTTTCCTTCACTCTTTCCCCGAGTGACAGAGTCGTTATGGTTTAACCTCGATCGACCATGTGTGGATGAAAATGAACTCCAACAACAAGAGAACCAGCATCAGGCTTGGGTCAGTGTCCGTGTGTGTGCATGTGTGTTTTTAACCTCAGTCTGTCAGTTTATTTTTTAAATTCATGTTATGTGGGCATCGCTGGTTAACTAGCATTTGTTGCCCATTCCTAATTGTCGAGGGGCAGTTAAGAGTCAGCCACATTGCTATGGGTCTGGAGTCCCATGTGGGCCAGATTGGGTAAGGACAGCAGATTTCCTTCTCCAAAGGATGTCAGTGAAGCTGATGGGATTTTCCCAACAATCGACACTGGTTAATGGTCATCACTACATGCTTAATTCCAGACGTTTATTGAATTCAAATGGTGCAGATGGTGGGACTCAAACCTGAGCCCACAGAATGTTACCTGGATCACTGGATTAATAGTCTCACGATAATACCACTATGCCATTGCCTTCTTTCAATATTTATATGGCTAGTCCAGAATGTTAAAAGTGAGGCACTCTTTGATAGTAACACAATTGAATGTTAAGAGGCAATGGTTAGATTCTCTCTTGAGCACTTGTGTGGCACAAATATGTTACTTGCTACTTATCAGGTGAAACCTTGATATTATCCAGGCTGTGTGTGTAGGTGTGTCCTTCTGCAGGTAAATGATGTGACCTGAATAGAATGGAAATGATCCCAGCTGTGAAGAGGCTAATTTCTAGCATTTGGAATGAAAGTTAAGCAGAGAATGTCCTCAGTATGAAGCAGTACTCAAAACACTTTCCAGTACAGGAACAATGGGCCAAAAGGCCTCCTCCAACATTACAATTCTGTGATTTTTAAACAGCTCTTCACATAATTGAGGTTAGTAGGAGGAAACAATTAAAGTTTAAATTTGTAACAAATTAAAACTCTTACGGGGAAAGATATTTCTGGTTGTGCTATATCTTCCTAGCAGTGTGAGGGATTAGGGTCAGATGTTGAGGAAACTCAGGTCTGATGAGTAATAGGGCTGAGGGAGCTGCAATTTCAGAATGGTGGTTTCAGTCATCCGATTTTACAAGTTTTATTTCTCTCTCTCTCTTCCCCTGTCACATCCCATGCACAGTTGCAGAGTATTGCTGAGAAGAACAATACTTTGGTCCCAATTGGAAAGCCTGCTTCTGAGGTGAGTGTCTGACTGGGCCCTGGGTTTCTGTATAAGGCTTGTTGTTAGATTTGCTGAGATCTCTTTGCATGATGAAGTTTGGGGAATGCTGGACAAGAACAGAGCAGATACTCAGCATAAGGGGTTGTCCATCTTGGAATGATTTGAGGAACATCATTGCAGCGAGATATGTGAATCTTCAGAATTCTCCACCCTAAGGAACCTGTGATATTCATCTGAATCCGTTAGGAATTTAGAAGAATGAGAAGGCAGTCTCACAGAAACTTATAAAAGGCTGACAGGAATAGACAGGGTATATGCAGGAAGGATGTTTCCAATGACTGGGGAGTCCAGGACCAGGGGTCACAGTCTAAGGATATGGGGTAGACGATTTAGGACTGCGATGAAGAAAAATGTCTTCACCCAGAGAGTGGAATTCTCTGCCACAGAAAGCAGTCAAGGGCAAAACATTGTATGATTTAAAGGAGTTGGATATAGCGCTTGGGATGAAAGGGATTGAGAGATTTGGGGGAAAGCAGGAACAAATTATCGACGTGGATGATCAAAATGAATGGCAAAGCACGCTTAAAGGGCCAAATGGCCTGGTCCTGCATCTTTTTTCCTATGTTTTTATCAATAATTTTTTGATCTCAGAGGAAATTAAGGGCTACAGAGACTGGGCAGGAAAAGCAGAGTTGATGTCAGGACTTGGGCATGATCATATTTAATGTAAAACCAGGTTTTAGGAGTCTAGGGACAATTCCTGTTCCCATTCCTTATAGGGGGTTGATTAGTTCAGTTGGCTAGACAGCTGGTTTGCGATGCAGGGTGATGCCAACAGCGTGGGTTTAGTTCCTGCACTGGCTGAGATTCCATGAAGGAGTCTCCTTCTGCAGCTGTCCTCTCACCTGAGATGTGATGACATTCAGGTTTAACCACCATCAGTTGTCTCTCTCTAATGAGGGAGCAGCCCTATGATCTGTGACTTCACCACACAAGAGGGAGTTCAGCAGAGTTTTTTGGAAACAATTGTATTTGAAGATTAAGTGGTGATCTTACTGAGGTATTTAAAGGACTGCATTGAGTTTTTTTTCATCATTCATTCATGTGATTTGGGCATCACTGACTGGGCCAGCATTTGTTGCCCATCTGTAGTTGCCCCTTGAGAAGGTGGTAGTGAGCTGCCTTCTTGAATCTGCAGTCTATGTGCTGTAGGTAGATGCATAATGCTGTTAGGGTGGGAGTGGTTTCTAGGATCCTGAAGGAATGGTGATATATTTCCAAGTCAGGACAGTGAGTGACCAGTGTCCTTCCGGCTAAAAGAACTGAAGATTTCAAAACTGCGATTGCTGGATTTTTCTTGGGTAAAGATCATGATATTTATAAAACCAAGCTGGGATGAATGGAGTTAAAATACAGATTAATTGTGATTTAAGTCAACAGTGGAACAGGCTCAAGGAGTTACATGGCCTCCTCCTAAGACCATTAGACCATAAACATAGGAGCAGAAGTAGGCCATTCAGCCTTTGAGTCTGCTCCTGCATTCATGAGATTGTGGCTGATCGGATAATCCTCATCTGCATTTTATACCCTTTTCCCCATAACCCTCGATTCCCTTCCTGATTAAAAATCTGGCTCTCTCAGCCTTGAGTATACTTAATGACCCAATCTCTCCAGTAAAGAATTCCACAGATTCATTACCCTCTGAGAGAAGAAATTCCTCTTCATCTCTGTCTTAAATGTGTGATCCCTTATTCTGAGATGATACCGCCTGGCCCTAGACTCCCCCACAAGGGGAAACAACCTCTACACATCTATCCTGTCAAACCTAAGATGTTTCAATAAGATCACCTCTCATTCTATTACATTACAATGAGTACAGGCCCAACCTACTCAACCTCTCCTCATTACACAGCCCCTCCAGACCTGGTATGAGCCAGTGAACCTTCTCTGGAGTAGATGCCAGTATATCTTTCCTGAGATAAGGGGCCTAAACCTGTTCACAGTATTCCAGCTGTGGTCTGACTGGTGTCTTGTACAGTTTTAGCAAAAAATTTTCTACTTTTACATTCCATTCCCTTTGATATAAAGGTCAGCATTCTATTTGCCTTCCCTATTATCCGCTGAACTTGGATACACAGATGAGAATTCTCAAATCCCCCAGTGTTGCAGCTTTCTGCAGTTTTCTTCCATTTATATAAGATTCATGCCCAACGTGAAGTGTAATTAGGCTATATAGAATATATTCCATATATATCTGAGACTTTACTGCTTAAATGTTTAATGTGTGGTGTGCAATGAGGAAGTGTAGTCAGTCTGTTTTCTGTTTGATGCCATGTTGGGATCATTCACAGCAGAACTATGATGATGAGGAAGAGGAGGATGATGAGGATGACGAGGACAGTGAAGAGGACTCTGAGGAAGATGAAGACATGCAGGACATGGATGAGATGAATGATTACAATGAGTCTCCAGATGATGGAGAGATAAATGAGGTGAGCAGGGCAATGGCCAGTGGGGTGGGTGCTGGAGCACAGCAGGGTGGGATCACTTGTACCCTGTTGGAGAAATTGTTTATCGAGAGGGCTGCTATGTTGTGTTTGTCACAAGTGAGTCAGCTTTTGAAGTGGGGAGAGGGCAATGAGAAATGCACAAGCTTAAAGAAACACAGCACTGCGGTTTGGGGTCCATTGTTTATGAGGCCTAGATAACCTCAACATTCAGCCCTGGTTCCAGTTCCCAGCAAAACTGTTAAAAAGGCACTCTCTGCTTGTGCTAATAAGGGACCAAGCGACTGATTGCTTGTTTTAAGCAATGACTGCCCTTGTTCTTAGCTATTCCAGTCAGGATATCTGCTATCACGGTCTATCACATTGGTCTGTTTTTCACCGTCACTATCCACCTATTTCTGACATCCACTGTTGCTACCTCTAAGTGCTCTGCGAGTCACCCAACTACACCTTTTTCTTCCACCCCCAACTCTAATGAGGTTGTTTCTCTTTGTTCAGGGAATATGGGCATCACTGGCTGGCCAGCATTTCTTACCCATCCCTAGTTGCCCCTGGAGAAGATGATGATGAGCTGCCTTCTTGAACTGCTGCAATCTGTGTGCTTTAGGGGCAGACCCACAAAATCCTTAGGGAGGGAATTCCAGGATTTTGACCCAGTGACACCCATATTTCCAAGTCAGGATGGTGAGTGGCTTGGAGAGGAACTTGCAGGGGGTGGTGTTCCCATGTATCTGCTGCCCTTGTCCCTCTAGATGGAAATAGTGGTGGGTTTGGACGAAGCTGTCTAAGGAGCCTTGGTGAGTTCACTACAGGGAAAGCTTCTCTATTCATTGTTATGTTGAAATGTGACAGTAACTCACTAAAACTTTTGTTCCTGCAGATCGACATGGAGGGTGCAGAGCAGGACCAGGACCAGTGGATGATCTAAAAGGCCTTTGACTCTCTCTGTGCTCTTCAAATTCAGGGATTCAGTTTATTCATCAAATTTGACACTGGGAGCAAGAGATCTTGAAGAAAAGTCCGATCATAAGTGCATGCATGCCTTCTCCTCCAGCCAGCACCCACAACCCTAACCCTGACTTGTTCAGATCCCTCTGTCTGACACTGTTTGAGGCATGGACTTTTTTGAACGGCTGATGATTGCTCTATTCCAGACAAGAACAGGAGGCCATTTAGCCCCTCAGGTTTGATCCTTCCACACGTATCGGTTCCATGACCCTTGAAGATGTGTATCCTCCCCCCACCCTGGCAAAATCAACCTCCATCTTGAGATTTTCAGCTGATTCACTCCCTCCTTCTCTGGGGTGGAAAGTGCTGGATTTCCACAGACCATTCCCACACCAGGGAACTGGGGTTACAGTTTGTGAAATTGTTATCCAGTGGAATCCTGTCTTATGGTTTGTAGAATTGAGGAGGTTTTCGGAATACAGAGTTGAGATCCCAACCTCGGCCCAACAGTCAGGGGAGGGGCCAAGCTGAGACCAGGTACAATTTGTGTCAAATTCGTGTCAAACACTCCATGCTGCTCTTAATCACACCTTTTCCAACTTTATCTTTCCAGCACATCCTTCTATCCCTTCACTTCTCCTTCAGCTCTTTTTGTTTCTTTTCAATGCATCTCAGCTGTTCACCATTTAACCACTGCCTGCCATGGCAAGTTCCACATTCTAACCAGGAAATGGATTCTCCTCTAAACACAGGACTGAAAGCATTGCAGGTTTCTCTTTACTGCCTCTATTGAACAATTCCTTGGGGACATTTCTCGTGAACTTTAAAATAAAATGTTTTGTTGGTCCTCCCTGAGTATTTATTTTATAATTATCTTTAGCCTCAGTTTGCACTACTCTCAGGACAAGTTCTGGAACCGAGACTGGTTCTAATGTAATGAGGGGTACTCCAACTTCCAAGTGATCGATTGTGATAGGGGACTCTCTAATCAGAGGCACAGGCAGACATTTCTGCGACCGACAGTGAGAAATCAGAATGGTGTGTTGCCTCCCTGGTGCCAGGATCAATGATATCTTGGAGAGGGTACAGAATATTCTCAAAGGGGACAGGGACTAGCATGAGGTTATTGTACACCTTGGAATTAATGACATAGGTAGAGAAAAGGGCAAGATTCTAAAGACAGAATATAGGCAGGAATTTAAAAAGGAGGTCCTTGAGAGTAATTACTCCCAGTGCCACGAGCTACGGAGAGTAAGAATAGGAGAATCGAGCAGATGAATACGTGGCTGAGGAGCTGGTACAGGGGAGAAGGATTCACATTTTTGGATTATTAGAATCTCTTCTGGGGTAGAAGCAACCTGTATAAGGACAGTTTGCACCTGAATTGGAATGGGACTCATACTGGCAGGGAGATTTGCTAGAGCTGCTTGGGAGGATTTAAACTAGTAAAGTTGGCGGTGGGTGGGGGATGCAGGGGGATAGTGAGGAAAGAGATCAGTCTGAGACTGGTGCAGTTGGGAAAAGGAGCAAGTCAAACATTGGATGTAAGAGTAGAAGGGTGGATTAGTAAGTTTGCGGATGATACGAAGGTGGATCAAGTTGTGGATAGTGCAGAGGGCTGTTCTAGGTTACAAAGGGACATTGATAGGATGCAGAGCTGGGCTGAGAAGTGGCAGATGGAGTTTAACCCTGAAAAGTGTGAGGTGATTCATTTTGGAAGGACAAACTTGAAAGCAGAATACAGGGTTAACGGAAAGATTCTTGGCAGTGTGGAGGAGCAGAGGGATCTTGGGGTTCATGTCCACAGTTCCCTGAAAGCTGCCACCCAGGTGGATAGAGTTGTTAAGAAGGCATATGGTGTGTTAGCTTTCATTAATAGAGGGATTGAGTTCAAGGGCTGTGAAGTTATGCTCCAGCTATACAAAAGCCTGGTTTGGCCACATCTGGAGTATTGTGTCCAGTTCTGGTCGCCTCATTACAGGAAAGATGTGGAAGCGTTGGAAAAGGTTCAGAGGAGATTTACCAGGATGTTGCCTGGAATGGAGGGAAGGTCTTACGAGAAAAGGTGGAGAGATCTAGGGCTTTTCTCTTTAGAATGACGAAGGATGAGAGGTGACTTGATAGAGGTGTACAAAATGATCAGAGGTATAGATAGACAGCCAGAGACTTTTTCCTGGTGGAGGTAGCTATTATGAGGGGGCATAGTTTTAAAGTGAGTGGAGGTAGATATAGGGGAGAAGTCAGAGGTAGGTTCTTTACTCAGAGAGTGGTCGGGGCGTGGAATGCATTGCCGGAGAGGGTAGTGGAGTGGGCCCCATTTAAGTGGCTATTAGATAGGCATATGGATGATAGTATAAGGTAGGGGTGGAGGTTAGATAGACCTTAGGATTAGGGTTAAAGTTCGGCACAACATCATGGGCCGAAGGGCCTGTACTGTTCTATGTTCTATACAGAGCAGGCAGGAACAAAGCAGAGAATGAGGTAGGACTGATAAATATAACTCAATTTATTTCAATGCAAGAGGCCTAAAAGGTAAGGCAGATGGACTCAGGACATGGTTGGTAGCACGGGACTGGGATATCATAGCAATTACAGAGATGTGGCTCAGGTATGGACAGGACTGGCAGCTTAATGTTTCAGCGTATAGATGCTATAGGAAGGATACTGGGGGACAAAAGGAGATGGAGTGTCGTTTTTGATCAGGGATAACATTACGGCTGTACTTGAGGATGTATCCTGGGAATACATCCAGGGAAGTTATCTGGGTGGAACTGAGAAATAAGAAAGGGATGACCACCTTATTGGGATTTTACTACAGAACCCCCAATAATCAGGAGAAAATTGAAAAACAAGTGTGTAAGGAGATCTCTGTTATCAGGAAGAATAATAGGGTGGTTTTGGTAAGGGATTTTAATTTTCCAAACATAGCCCGGGGACTGCCATAGTGTTAAAGGCTTGGATGGAGAGGTTCTGATTCAGTATGTGAATGCATCTACTAGAGAAGCTGTGAAACTTGACCTACTCTTGGGAAATAAGACAGAGCCAGTGACTGCGATGTCAGTGAGGAAGCACTGTGGGGCCAGTGACCATAATTCTATTAGTTTTAAAATAATGGTGGAAAAGAATAAACCGGATCTAAAAGTTACAGTTCTAAATTGGAGGAAGGCCAATTTTGATAGTATTACGCAAAAACTTTCAAATGTTGATTGAGGCCAGATGTTTGCAGGGAAAATGGGAAGCATTCAAAAATGAGATGATGAGTCCAGAGACAGTATGTTCCTGTTAGAGTGAAGGACACAGCTGGTAGGTGTAGGAAATGCTGGATGGCTAGAGAAATTGAGGTTTTGGTCAAGAATAAAAAAGCACATGTCAGGTTTCGACAGCAGAGATTGAGTGAATCCCTACAAAAGTATAAAGGCAGTAGGAGTATACTAAAGAGGGAAAATCAGGAGGGCAAAAAGGGGATATGAGATAGTTTTGGCAACTAGAGTTAAGGAGAATTCAAAGGGATTCTACAAATACATTAAGGACAAAAGGTAACTAGGGAGGGAACAGGGCCCCTTAAAGATTAGCAAGGCTGTCTATGTCTGGAAGCACAGAAGATGTAGGAGATACGAAACGAGTATTTGGAGAAGGATGTGGAAGATAGTGATGGGGAAATAAATAGGGACATCTTGGAAAATATACATATTACAGAGGAGGAAACGCTGGATGTCTTAAAATGCATAAAGGTGGATAAATCGCCAGGATCTGATCAGGTGTACCCCACAACTCTGTGGGAAGCCAGGCAAGTGATTACTAGGTCCCTTGCTGAGATATTTGTATCATCAATAGCCACAGATGTGGTTCCAGAAGACTGGAGGTTGGCCAATGTGGTGCCACAGAAAGGTGGTAAGGAAAAGCCAGGGAACTATAGACTGGTGAGCCTGACATCAGTGATGGGCAAGTTGTTGGAGGGAATCCTGAGGGACAGGATTTACATGTACTTGGAAAGGCAAGGACTGATTAGGGATAGTCAACATGGCTTTGTGCGTGGGAAATCATGTCTCACTAACACTTAATTGAGTTTTTTGAAGAAGTAATGAAGAGAATTGATAAGGACAGAATAGTGGACATGATCCAAATGGACTTCAGTAAGGCATTTGACAAGATACCTCACTGTAGACCGGTTAACAAAGTTAGATCACATGGAATACAGGGAGAACTAGCTATTTTGACACAGAACTAGTTGAAAGGTAGAAAACAGAGGGTGGTTGTGGAGGGTTACTTTTCAGACTGGAGGCCTGTGATCAACGGTGTGTGACAGGGATCAGTGCTGGGTCCACTGCTTGTCATCATTTATACAAATGAATATTGGGGGCATGGTTAGTAAGTTTGCAGGTGACATCAAAATCGGAGATGCAGTGGACTGCAAAGAAGGTTATCTCCAAGTACAATGGGACCTTGATCAGATGGGCCAATAGGCCGAGAAGTGGCAGATGGAGTTTAATTTAGATAAATATGAAGTGCTGCATTTTGGAAAGGCAAATCAGGGCAGGACATATGCACTTAATGGTAAGATCCTGGGGTGTGTGGCTGAACAAAGAGATCTTGGAATACAGGTTCATAGTTCCTTGAAAGTGGAGTTGCAGCTAGATAAGATAGTGAAGAAGGTGTTTGGTACGCTTGCCTTTATTGGTCAGTGCATTGAGTATAGGAGTTGGGAGGCTCATGTTGCGGCTGTACAGGACATTGGTTAGAGATAACAAGGTGTAGAGCTGGATGAACACAGCAGGCCAAGCAGCATCAGAGGAGCAGGAAAGTTGACGTTTCGGGCCTAGACCCTTCTTCAGTTATTGAACATGTTATTGAACTTGATAACACCTTGTTATCTCAGATTCTCCAGCATCTGCAGTTCCTACTATCTCAGGACATTGGTTAGACTGCTTTTGGAATACTGCACATATTTCTGGTCTCCCTGCTATAGGAAGGATGTTGTGAAACTTGAAAGGGTTCAGAAAAGATTTACAAGGATGTTGCCAGGGATTTGGAGGGTTTGAACTATTCAGAGAGGCTGAATAGGCTGGGGCTATTTTCCCTGGAGTGTCAGAGGCTGAGGGGTGATCTTATAGAGGTTTATAAAATTATGAAGGGCATGGATAGGATGAATAGACAAGGACTTTTCCCCAGGGTGGGGGAGTCCAAAACTAGAGGGGCATAGGTAAGATTTAAAAGGGACCTAAGGGGCAACTTTTTCACGCAGAGGGTGGTGTGTGTATGGAATAAGTTGCTAGAGGAAGTGGTGGAGGCTGGTACAATTACAACATTTGAAAGACATCCGGATGGGTACATGAATAGGAAGGGTTTAGAGGGATATGGGCTAAATGCTGGAAAATGGGACTAGATTTATTTCAGATACCTGGTTGGCATGGACGAGTTGGACCAAAGGATCTGCTTCCATGCTGTACAGCTGTATGGCTCTATGAGGTACAGCACAGGTTTAGATACAGTGGAAAGATCTGGGACTCATTGAAAATAGGAGGAGGTCATTTGGCTCTTTGAACCTGCTCCATTGTTCAATCATTGATCATCCAACTCAGTCCCCTGTTCCCAATTTCTCCCCGTACCCTTTGATTCCTGTCGCCCCAAGAATTATATCTAATTCCTGTTTGAAAACATTCAGTGTTTTGGCCTCAATCGCTTTCTGTGACAGAGGATTCCATAGGCTCACCAATCTCTGGGTGAATAAATTTCTCATCTCAGTCCTAAATGGCCTACCATTATCCTTAGATGTGATACCCTGGTTCTGGACTCCCCTGTCATCAGGAACATCCTTCCTCCATTTACCCTATTTAGCCCAGTCAGAAT